AGGTAAGTCGTGCCTCGCGTAGGCCCTATCCTGTCGTAGGGGCTCGCGAGAGGTATGGGTGGCGCACTCGGCCGGAGCGGCTCGTGGAAGCTCCATGTATATTGCGACGAAGGGTTTTAGACCAACTCCTGCGTGACGCGGCCGAGAGGGTCCCGCGTTGCCCCCGTGCGGTGCCGGACCGATGCGCGCGACAGGTGGCGCCGTTGCCGGGGATAACGGAAAGCCTACTGTTGTCCCTGGTGGAACGACATCTGGGTAAGAGAAGTGAATAAGAAAATGCATAAAGGAATGATGAGAGGGTAAGGGAGAAATAATGAGTGACTAAGTGTAGGTGAGAAAGTTTACCTGCACGAGTTAGGGAAAATTAAGAGGGGCGACTATGCTAGTATTGAGTAAAGTATGTAGTAAAAAGTTAGGTAAAGCAGGTGGAATAGGCCGGTCAAGGTGTAATGTTGAATAAGGGGGTATGCTTGTTTTCTTTCTCTTATCAGGAAGCTTGAAAAGAAGAGGCTGTTAAGATGCCTGAAACTGGCGGCGCATCGGGTGCACCCAAGAAGGGTCTGACACTCGACGACCTCATCGCGACCATCGCCCGGCATGAAAGGAATCCGAGCAATATCCCAAAGGTCGATACTTTCGATTTTTGTGGGGAAAGAGTCTCTGAATGGCTGGAGCGGGTGGAACAAGCTTTGGTTGGGGGGTCGGACATTGTAAAGTTTCAACACATACTTCAGTATGTCCTCCACAGCTACCACCAAGAGGTGAAGAAAGTCATAGATGCAGCCCAAGGCAGCTGGGAGAGGTTTAAGGAGGGGATGCAGAGAAAGTACCGCCTGGGAGACGGGTTGTTGACTACCGCGGACCTTGAGGCGATGAAGAAAGAGGATTTTACGACGATAGGGGGTTTTGTCCAAAAATTTAAGAAAAGGGCGTGGAAGGTCCATGGGATTTCGAAGGAAGCACAGTGCGCCATCTTCCTGGGGCTACTCACAGCGTCGGAGGCCGTCGAGTTGACGAGACATGGAGGAGGTAGCACCAAGCTCACCTGGGCCACCATTGACAGAGGGGTGGAAGTTGGGTGTTTGGACCAGGTGGAGCAACGTCAGGTACGCCTGCAAAGACAGAAGAGAAAGGAAAGAGATGCGACTACTTCTGGGACCCCGGGGGTAACAAGGATTGTTACAGACGTATTGGCACAGGTAGGGTATGCGACAGAGCCGGTGGTGCAAAGGAGGGTGGTGACGGCCGTCAAAGTGAAAGGAAAAGAGTCGGTGATAGAGGAGGTTGTTCAGGAGGAGCTCTGGGAAGAGGAAGAGCTGGTGCCGCAGCACCTGACGAAGGTCCAGCACAAAGTGCGTAATTTGGCGCAGGGCGGACAGGGATCAGGAAAAACGCAGGCGCCTCAGGCCCAAGCAGCAGCCCCTTTAAATGTGGTGGCTCCATCATCTAGTACGGGCCCCTCGCAAGGTGGGGCGCCCTCCTACGGACAGTGGCCCTGGCCGGTGATCAATGCAATTGTGCCATGGGGAAGCCCGCCGCCAGTAGCCAAACCGCAAACGAGTATGTCACCACCCATCTACCCCACAGCCCAGACCCAGCCTCTGGCCCATCACCTGCTCCCAGTTCATAGGGCAGTGTTGCAGGAGGTGGGAACCAGGGGCAGGGCAATCAAGGCAACGGAGGGAGGGGTGGAGGAAGGGGGCGAGGCAGGAATGGTGGCGGAAGAGGAAGGCAATGGAATGGTCAAGGCTAGGGGTACGAAGGCCAAGGGAGTCAAGGCCAGGGGTACCAAGGCCAAGGGAGTCAAGGCCAGGGGTACCAAGGCCAAGGGTGTCAAGGCCAGGGGTACCAAGGCCAAGGGAGTCAAGGCCAGGGGTACCAAGGCCAAGGGTGTCAAGGCCAGGGGTACGAAGGCCAAGGGAGTCAAGGCCAGGGGTACCAAGGCCAAGGGAGTCAAGGCCAGGGGTACCAAGGCCAGGGGTACCAAGACCAAGGGAATCAAGGCCAGGGGTATCAAGGCCAGGGGTATCAAGGCCAGGGGGATCAGGGAAGTCAGGGGTATGAAAGACCCCGTTTTGACTGGAGGACGGCCATCTGTCAACATTGTGACCAGCAAGGCCACACTATAAGGTTCTGTAATATAAGACGGGAAGACGAGAGAAGCGGACTGATTTCCTCCACTATGGATGGGAATATCTACGATCAGTTTGGGGAGGCCATTGACAAAAGGCTTGGAGGAGTGAGGGTTGAAGCCCAACGAAGAGTGGCAGCTGGGCCGCCACCCCCTGCCATGTTCAGGCTATGGCAGGAAAAGGAGGAACCACCGATTGGGGTGGAGGAAGTGGGGAGCGATGAGGAAGTGGCTCAAGGGCTACGAGGAGGAAGTAAGACGGAAGAACCCATAATCATCGAGTCAGATGGCGAGGATGAGGAGGAAAGAATGGAGCCTCCGTTCGTCTTATTTGGAAAAATGGAGGACCTGCTGGATAAGATGGGGAGGTACCAACAAAAGTTGGTGGGCCTCTGTGAGGAAGTGAAGGGATGGAGGTCTAACATACCCGAAGTGTTCCTCTATGACTCCGGGTCGGAGTCAGCACCTAGGCGACCCGGAGTAAATGTGGTGGGGTCGTGCCCACAATCGGGAATGAGGTGGAGACCCCTTACTCCGCAAGTCCGGCTGGCACAGGCAACGCGAACGAGGAATCAAGCCAAGGCCAGTGCCAGCCAAGAGCCTCCAAGGAGGGAAACCGAACCAAGGAGAAGGAAAGAGGTTGTGAAAGTAGAGGACGACGAGGATGAAGAGGAAGAGGACGAGAGGCTGCGCAGAGAAGAGGATCAGAGAACGGAGCAGCAGGCGAGGAAAAAGGGAACCAGGGGAGAGGCCGAGCCAGTTTTACGTGACGGACCACCCAAAAAGAAAAAATACGTGGTTCGGTTGGAAGAGGGATTTGACGTAGAGAGAGTAATTGACAGGCTGCTGGAAGGGCATAATGATCTCATGACCCTGAAGGAAATCCTAGCATCAGGCCCGCGACTCCGCGATGAACTGAAGGGGAGATTGTCGCGGCGCCTGGTGCCCAATGTCCATCTGGGTACGATCCTGCCCAAGGAGGCTGAGTGGGTGGAGTCGGGTACGAAAATGGACTGGAAGTGTGTAGCCTGCGGCACGGTGGATTTGGTGGTGAAGGGTTCCAAGTGCGCGGCAATGGTGGACACGGGGGCGGAGATGAACATTATTCGGAAAGCGGACGCAATCAGATTCGGGCTGGATATAGACCGTTCTGACGGCGGTATTCTGCACGGAGTTAGCTGCAAGGCCGTATTTTGTGGGACAACCTCGAAAGTACTCATCGAGGTTGAAAAGGTGAAGGCTCGGGCTTGTTTTTTCATCATGCCAGACGTGGATCACGGAATCCTCCTGGGGAGATCATTCCTAAGCAGGACGGAGACCGTGATATTTAATAAGCATGACGGGACGTTAATCCTCCTCTTATGCGATCCTGCCTGTGGGAATTACGAAATAATTACCTGCAGGAACACATGGCCAAGGAGTATAAGGAACCGGCCAAATTCAGGATCGTTCACAATCGAAGAGTCGGAAGGTGAGCGCCGGAGGCTCCGGGCAGAACTCGAAACAGGAGAGAGGGTGGAAGCATTTTCCCTCAGCTTGTTGGACGTCGGGAAGGCCATCGACTTGGTGGCCGCGCATAAGATGGCAGATCCGGATGCCATCCAGGCCTTGAGGGAGCAAGTTCTGGAATGCCCCGAGGCAAGAAGGTTGGAATTGGTATATTGGCTCCCAGGCAGCGGAGGGAACCCCGCATCAGCACAAACACAATCTATGAGTCGGTCTTTTTTAGGGGACGGTTCAAGCAGGGTTCCCAAAGGCGGTACAAGACCGTAGACAAGAAGTGTCGCCCGGTTCCCGTCCTCGTTACAGAGGACGAGGAAGCATATTACGAGAGGGAACGAGGGTTGATACGGCGAATGAGGGAGAGTGCTCTAGCAGGGCCATGTCGTATTAACGAAGGGAACGAGGGGGAGTTGATTATAGGAGAACCCGACTTCCTACTACCTCAAGAGCGAACATTGATGGTGGAATTAATGAAGAGGAAGCATCGCGCCTATGCGTTTAGCGACGAGGAGCGTGGCAGACTGGATGTGGACAAGATACCTATGATCCGCATCCACACCATGCCACACGAGCCTTGGAACATAAGAGGGGCGCGATATCCTAACCCCGACGAGGAAAAGAAGGTGGTGGACTACCTCGACGGCAAGATAAGTACACACGTCGCCGACTATTCTAGTGGACCGTATGCGTTCCCGTGGTTTTGCTTCATTAAGCCTAACGGGACGCTGCGATGGATGCAAGATCTGCAGAGGTTAAATGCGGTGACCGTGCGAGATGCTGGAGGACTGCCAAATGCGGATGCTTTGTCGGAATCCTGTGCTGGAAGGCCTATAATTTCGCTTATAGACCTTTACTCAGGATACGATCAGTTTCCGGTCTACCCGCCAGATAAGCCAGTGACGGCTATGCACACGCCGTGAGGGCTAATCCACATGAACGTGGCCCCACAAGGGTGGACCAATGCGGTAGCAATGGTCCAACGGGCCATGATTCGGGTTATGTCAGTCAGCCCCCATATTACACAGCCATACATCGACGATTTGGTGGTGAAGGGGCCGGCAGTAAAGGAGAGCGATGAAGTCTCGCCAGGTGTAAGGCGCTTTGTTTGGGAGCATATCCAGGACCTCGAAAAAGTCCTGAGCCTGCTTGAGGAGCATAACCTCACGACGAACGGGGCCAAATCCAAACACTGCATGAGGGAAACGACTATTTTGGGGTTCGTCTGCAGCGAGAAGGGTCGGAGGTCGGATGTGAAGAAGACGGACAATATTACTGAGTGGCCAGTTCCGTTCCACTCAATAACTGATGTCAAAAGCTTCCTTGGTACGTGTGAATTTTGGAGGGCCTTCGTCAAGAACTTTGCCGCTAAGACTGAACATCTGAGGAAGTTAGTCCGTCAGGATCAGGAATGGGTTTGGAGTAAAGAGCAAGAAGAGGTGGTAGCCAGAATGAAGGAGGAATTTCGAGAAGGAGGGTTGGTGTTAGGAGCGCCAGATTATGATGCTACAGAAACACGACCCTTCATTGTCGAAACAAATGTGGGGCCGACTACCTTAGGGGGAGTTCTAATTCAGGCAGACATGGAGGGAAAAGAAAGGCCCTTGAGATTTGAGAGTCTGACTCTCTGTACGACCGAGAGGAACTACTCTCAGTTCAAGAGGGAGACCCTTGCCGTCCTCCACTGTCTGTGAATCTTCCGGAACTACATCTTCGGCAGGAGGTTTATTTTGAGGGTGGATCCGACCGCCCTGACCTACTCTCTAAGGAATTACGTTCCATCGGATCCGACGGTTGCTAGATGGCTGACGTACATCTGAATGTTCAATTTTGAATTGGAACGGATTCCTGGCAGTAAGAACCAGGCGAACGGGCTGAGTCGGATCAACTGGGATAAACAGGAAGGGGAGGCGGTGGAGAATACGCCCCCAGTTGATGGATTTCTGGATCAGGAAGAAGATGTTCGTCTCCACATCAATAAATGGTCGCCGCGACTACCCAGCTGTGTAGGCTATCCTATCTGGCAAGCGCCAAGTGGGTATGAATGAAGGGATGAGCTAGTCCTCAAACCCTTTGAAGAAGAGGATCTCTGGGGTAGTAAGGATGTTCAGTGGATGATGGAGCTAGCGCTGGCCAGCTCGCATAGCCTGGTGGAGGATATAAGAACGATTGAGGAAGGACCTGGCCAGGTAGAACGGCATGAGGACCTGATGGGAGGAATGTATCTCCTCTTCAATACGTTATTGCAGGAAAGCCTAGACCAGTCAGACTCGTTGAACCCGGCAGGGAATGTGGACGAAGTGCCCGAGAGCCAGGACGACGAGTTCGAGGAAGGGGAAGTTAAGGAGGCATTTCGTGCAGAGGAGTACGACGGGATCTACCTAGAGCTGGGACTTCTTCTGTCATGTAAAATGCGGCTTACGGATGCAAGCGATAGGGCTCAGAGGATGCTGCAGCGCTACTTAGTGCGAGACGACCACCTTTTTGTGAGAAGAGAAGTGGGGAATCCCAGGAGAGTCGTCTGTGGTAGGAATCGTCAGATTGACGTCGTAGCAGCGCTTCACGATGACGTTCTAGGAGGGCATCGAGGGGTACAAGCCACGTATACCAAAATAAGTGAGCTGTACTACTGGGATGGGATGATGGACATGGTCAGGAAGTTTTGCCGATCTTGCATACCTTGCCAGGAGAGATCCCGTTTAAGGCAAGGAGAGCCGCTGCATCCAAGGCTAGAGCGAGAGGTGGGGGCCGTCGTGCATCTCGATCTACTTTTTATGCCACTTGGGGATCAAGGCTATAACTATATCTTCGATGCGCGCGATAACTTGTCTGGGTTCGTAGACGGGCGTGCTATTTGCACAAAGACCGGTTTAGTCCTGGTGAGCTGCATCGTAGAGTATTATCTGCGCTATCCTTTCGTCAGGGAATTCGTAATGGACAGGGGATCGGAGTTTACCTACCAGGAGGTGCAAGAATTGTTATCAAGGTATGGTGTAGCAGCCAACTACACCACGGCCGAGCACCCCCAGGCAAATGCTCCCGTGGAGAGAGGACATAGTACCATTACGAGTCTCCTGGTTAAGTGGACCGAAGGTAGGCCTAATCAATGGCCAATATATCTAAGGGCGGCTTTCTTTGCCGAAAACATTACAGTAAAGAGATCCACAAAGTACGCATCGGCGACGCTGTGGTATGGAAGGCACGCCACCTTCCCTATCGAGAGTTTTCTTAAGACATGGAGGCGACAGGATCTGGAAATTAACGTGTCATTTGAAGAGTTGCTCGATATTCGGGCGCGGCAGATAGGGGCGATAGAAGAAAGGATCTAGGAGGCGTCTGATCAGGTGACGAGAAGCCGTATGGATGATAAGGTTCGATGAGATCGGTCGGCGCGGGTGAGGAAAGTACCCTTGGCAGTTGGGGATGTCGTTCTTCTTTACGATTCATCGCTGGAAAAGCAGTGGTCTAGGAAACTCGATAAGAGGTGGTTAGGTCCCTACCGGATCGCACGGGTCGGAGACTTCGGAGCGTACCAGATTGAGGAGTTAAATTGGACTGAGTAGAAGGATTGGGTATCCGGAACGCGACTGAAGAAATTTGTGGCGAGAGAAAAGGTAAGAGAGATGACCTGACTGCCTTTAGAATAGAAGTAGCAGGGTGTGTAGGTTAGGTAGGATGCATGCTGTACGAGTGTGGCCTGGTCTGAGTTTGCTTGATTATCACCTGTTTGCTTACCCCAATGTGTGTCTGTTGTCTCCTTCGCCTGTTGTGCACGTCTGACTTTACGAAGACAGCCATGCCAAGAGGAGGGAAGGGGACACGGCCGGCTCAGAGGCCGTTGGGCGCATCAGGAGGATATGAGCGGCATGGGCCTCGCCATCGAGAGAGTACTCCGGTCTACAATGATGGGGACATCGAGCTATTCCTGGACAGTTTCTGGGATCATGCGAGGCGTATGGGCTGGACCGTGGCTCAGGCGATTGAGAGATTGAGGGGAGCAGGCAGGTTCGAGGAGCCCATTGCCAGGATTCGTATGGAGGCGACGACGAGGCAGGAGATGGAGATGAGGATGGAGGAGTTGCGACGCTCGCCTATGGGGCCTGATGGCAGGCTGATCCGCCTGGAGATTGGAAATGCGTCGGACTTCATCCCCACGTTTGAGTGGTTCATGCAGGGGCGGGGTATACCGAGAGATGATTGGATGCAGACGCTACCACTCTGGACCAGGAAGGCGGAAAGGCCACTGGCTAGCCAAATCAGAAGCATGGTCTGGGACTGGGAGAGCTGCAAGGCACATATGAGAGAGACCTTCCGACGGCGAGATCCCCTCAGCCCAGAGTTGAGAGGCGTCAGAGGAGTCAGAGGCAGAGGGACTCTGAGCCCAGGGAGGCGAGACCGTCTCGAGGAGGACGGAAGGCCCTAGCCAGGAGAGAGGAGGAGCCGGAGCAGGAGCCAGAGGTTGAGGAGCAAGGGGCATACCCTGAGTATGGGTTGGGACCAGTGGAGTTCCATCGTTTTACTGAGGGTGGATTGAGGAGGTCGCCAGCATGCACGCAGGAGGAGCCACCAGCATCGGAGGGGCCTTTAAGGGAATTTGAGACGCATTTAGATATTTCTCGGTGGAGGGCGTCGCCTCAGGGTGAGGAGCATGGAGAGCAGGCAGAGGAGGTGCCACAGGAGGAGGTGCCATAGGAAGAGGTGCCACGAGAGGAGGTGCCACAGGAGGAGGTGCCACGGGAGGAGGTCCAGGGTACTCAGCGAGAGAGAGGGCTGGGCGATGAGGGGAGACGTGCAGGGAACGAAGTAATAGAGGTTGGAGAGGATACGCCCCCTCAGACGTCGGCGGTGGGCTTGAGACTTGGGGATGCACCAGGAAGCACTCGCCAGGCGGAGGAGAGGTTGCAGAGAGAGGAGGCCCTATTACCTTCATCAGAAAAGACCCCTTCGCTAGAAGAGAGAGCAGAAAGGAGGAGAGAGAGGGCAACTGTAAGGAAAGAGGCTTTGACCCTGATTGACAGACATCTAGCAGCTTATGCCATGGAGCATCCAGACCTGGAGGAGCCAGCACCTGCAGAGCCGCGCCAGGAGCCATGCCAGCCCAAGAATTAGATGGAAGCAGAGATCCCGAAGAGGGTCGACCTCCGCACGAGGGAAAGGGCGCCAGCAGGAGAGACGGCTGAAGAAAAGAGGGCGAGACGAATCAGGCGGATAGATGAGATATGGCAAGAGAGGCAGAGGTTGGAGGAAGCGGGGGAGCTTCCGGAACAGCAGCAGGAGAGGTAGAGTTCGGAGGCAGCAGGAGCACTCCCAGGTCAGCCACCCAGCGCACCAGCTAGGGCCCCGAAGATCCCAGAGATGTGGAGGGACTTCTGGGAGCAGAGAGGAGAGGAACTTCCATCGCCAGTCAGAGCCGGGTTTGGGGTGGTCAGGAAGGCGAAAGAGAGGTTAGATCGTAAAATCAAGTTCCTGGCCAATACCACTTTTGACCGACACTTGTTATTGGAGGGCGATCTGACAGGGAAGAAGATGAAGGAAGCAAGGTATGGAGTACGCCTGGAGGCTATGGAGATGGAAATTCAGGAACTGAGGGCATTGGTGGCCAGCCAGACAGCTATCATCGAGAGTCTGAGGCAGCAAACTCAGGGAAGGGTGGACAGGCCAGAGAGCAGTAGGCAAGGAGAGCAGAGGCAGCCAGGACAGGGATTGCCAGGACAACCATCTGCAGCAGAGCCTCGCCAGGAGCCACCTATGGGGAGGGTTATCTTGGAGCCAGAGGAAGCGAGAGCCCAGAGACAGGCGGAGAGAGAGGCATTCAAGTTCAGAGCCCCTACCGAGCTCGCGACACTGCCAGTAGCAGCGGCGGGCCGAGTCGTACCTTTGGCAGTAGAGGAGGGGCTGCCACCATCTAGCAGTGAGACGGCACAGGGCTCAGCAGAGGGATCCATGGGCGTGCTCCTTGAGGCGGTGCATACTATGCAGGAGGAGGTGAGTTTGTTTTCACCCGAGCAGAGGATAGAGGAGTCTCTTGAGAGAGAGATGGGGATTGAGGCGGAGGGTGCCATCGAGGGCAGACTCCAGAGGATGGGCACGCCTAAGTATGGAGCAGACGAGATTGAGAAGCCGTCCATGGCAGCGCCAGGAGAGACACTTGAGAGGAGTCCTCAGAGGTTGGACACGCCTGAGTACGTCCCAGCGACAGGGGATTTGAGGAGCAGACTGGGATCTTGGGCTACTGGATCCGGGTCTGGGGGACCGCTTCCTGGGACAGAGCAGCAGGAGGTCGTTAGTATCACAGCTCCTCGATCAGAGCAGCAGGGGGTTGTCAGTACCTTGGCAGGATCACCTTCATCACCACCTCTTCAGCCCAGGAAGAAGAAGTTCAAGAGGAAGGTTGATCAACTATGTTTCTACTGCAAGAGGAGCGTGCATCATGCTCTGGACTGTTTCGAGTTCCTTGAGGATAAGGCAGCAGGGAAGGTCTCAGAGGCAGGGGGTAAGATGTATGATAGACAGGGTAGGATAGTAGAGAAGTCCGCAGATGGACTTAGGGCTCAGTTATATAGGCAAAACCAGGAGGAGTTGAGGAGGTAGGGCCGGTTTGTCTATGTAAGTGGGCGAGTATCTTGTGAGGCATCATCTTAGATTCTATGTGATACCCTCTTAGACTTAGAGGACCTTTTTGATGATTGCTACTAGTCTAGATCTGAACTCTAGTGTTCCTACTGAGTTAGGGTCTTGAGGATCAAGGCGATTTAGATGAGGCATGTACATATTTAGGTGGCCTACGCCCTGGCCTTTGAGACACAGATCTGACATGTATTCTAGGGGTTGTTGTCAGTGTAGATTTGGTGTGGCTTGAGTTGAGTGAGCTATGATTTTGAGACACTTTCTGTATGAGACATTTTGTTCCCTGAGTGTATATTATGATGAGGTTTTATTTCAGGGACCATTCTTATATGTGACGATCATTTGTCTCTCTCACATGTGTGGTTGTGCTCTGATGAATGATGAATTTGTGTGGACAATGTGTGGAAAACATCTTATGTGTCATGGGTACTGTAAATATGATTATAAGCAAAACTGTCTACTCCTCGGTATACTTATGCGACCTGTCTACGGGCAGCTGATAAGGCAGAGTATAAGGGGAGGAAGAGCAGCCCGCCTGTGAAAGGTTGTGAGGATTTTGAAGATTTATGAGCCCTAGAGGCTCAGAATGCTTACCATGTTGATTATTGATTGCTTGAGTTGTGATGAGGACCCATAAGATGGTCTCTCAGTGATGTTTCGTTTTATGATGGGAACCCATTGAATTTTGGAGGAGGAGAATGTTTTATGATGTTTTGTGATGTAACGAAACCCCTCGTGACTTTTGAAAGAGGGGGTGTTTTGTTTTATGATGAGAGCACTTTGGATTTTTGGAAAAGAGGGTGTTGTTGTTGAAAGACTCACCCTCAAAAGTAAGTAAATTGATTTTATGGCATGACAAGTTATTTGATGGGTGATAAAGTCTGACGAAAAGGGTCACCTTTGTTTGGGATGTTTGAGAAAGTCGCAATGAGTGCAGGGCGAGAGATGTCTCAGGGTGGGTGGCTACTGGCTCTGATCAAGTCAGGGGTCACGGCCTGGTGGATTAGCGGTGATTTTGTTTGTAGGTGTACGAAGGATGCCATGCCTATTGTGGAAGGGCTGGTAAATGTCTTCAGACCCCTGCGTATCGCGCAGTGGGCCAGTGATTTTTGTTTTGTGACGGCCCCGTCTAACCACTGGTCATAATTCTGAGACATATTGAAGAAAGGCCAAGCTAACGGAAAAGAAGTTAGTACCTCTAGAACGTAACCCCATTGGATGGCTGCTAGTCGGCGCAACCTGGCTGCAGGACCGCGTGGGTAAGAGTTTAAGGGGGGGTGCCCGCCCCAGTGAAATTACTCCGCGGGATAGTGATGGTTGAGAATTTTTGGGGGAAATCCTGATTGAATGCTTATCAGAATAAAACATATCGTTGCATAACCAACCAGGGTACTGCTGCTAAATAAGAATGCGGTGGGTCGTGGTCCTGGTCCGATCAGCCAGGCTATGGTGGGCCAAGGTGGAGACCTAGCTTTTTTTGTACTAGACTGCAGAAAAGGTTGAGCAGATATTAAGTATACATATATACGTATGTGTTTTCGATTGCGAGAGATTTTGAGAAGGAAGGTGAGAGTGCCTTCAAAAGGTTTCGATTAAGGCCCGCGTCCCTAGTTTTTGCCAGGACTAGGGACACCCAACGAGAAGCCGAAGGTTGTCTAGGACCGGGGAGAGGACGATTGGGAAGGTCTTTGGAACTTATGCGGTCAGCGTCCTAATTTCTGGGCGGTGAGAGGCCCAGGTTAGAAACCTGGCAGCATATAGTTGTGGAGGCATGTTTTGATGGAGGCCTCTACCCTGTGTTTGTCGGCTAATCGGACCGGCTCCTGTTTCGTCAGCATTTGGAGTGTGAGTGGATTTATAGCTTTCTGATTTGGCGAAGCGACGGGGACGTCGCTTAATATGGTCCGATAAGTTGTCGGCGCGAATACCCTTATAAGGGTATCCGCCCTGGTTTTTGCAAGTAACAAAAAAACAGTTTTTGTTTAAAGTTTAAGTATACCGCGCTAAGCGCGGCTGCGTCTTTAATTGCGTTGACTGGGTGGTTGACCACAATAGCGAGTGCGTGAGCACGCAGGTTTAAGGCGTGCGTGATTCTTTTCTGTTGTTGATCGTAGTAGCCGGCTCGGACCTCGGTCATTTTGCTTGGTGATATTATTATTTATTTATTTTTGATTAAGCATGAATTAAGGATATTTTCTTTGATTGGTACATTTGACCGAGTCGAGCGCGCGTGCGGAGAACGACCCCGACGACGACATCGACAACGATGGTATGACCTTGTGCGGTAAGCGGGGTGTCGTAGGATGGCGCGTGGCACGGTATAAGTCAGCCGGCACGGGCACTGGGAGCCCCGCAGCCGGTTTTGTTGGACAAAAGCGTCGCACCGCACTGCCTTGTATGGCGCTCTGCGGGCACTGGTATCAGGCATTGGCTTAGCCCTATAGGTTACGGCATCGGACTACTACTACAGAGGTTCGGAGATCGAGGCCCAGCAGGCGCCGACATAGCGGCAGCGGAGCATCGAGGAGGGAGCCAATGGGGTTGAGGGTCGTGAGGCTATCCCCCTTGGTTTCTGTCAATGGCAGCGTCCGATCGGTGGTGGCGCTTTCTAATTAATTTTTATTCTAAGTGTCGTATTTTTTTTATACCCCGGCAGGCCGTTGACTTGGACGAGGCGCCGGATCTAATGGTCGTCACGGCAGTCGAGGACCTTGAGTGCGTGCCCCATTTTGACGGGTCCGCGTGCTTGGGGAGCTGGCAAAAAGTCCTCCCTTACGCCGTGGCTGAAAAACCACGACGCGGTCAGGACTGAGTTTGTAATTGCACTTGAGGCGAAAGGGTCGGTAATGCCGAATGTATACGCCCTACGCTTCGGGTTTTGTGAGGCCTCGTGGGGGCATGTTGTCTTTGCAGGAATTGCCTGAAGTGTAACTTCAAAACTGTTTTTGAGACTAAGTCGAAGTTACCCCTCTACAGTATTTCGGGGAACCTCGTAGCAGCCACATACGTGCTCAAGCTCCCAACGAGGGGACACGCGG